AGGGAAAGAAATTTTATTTTCAAGCTTTTAAGAGAATAATACAAACAACAGAGAGTTTTAAAAAACCCTAAAAACTAGTTTAAAAAAGTACTTGACAGTGTCCCTTGAATACCCATGGATGACGCAGCCATTGTGCAATGACAACAAGAAACTGCAAGTGACCACCCAGTGGCCTTCCCTGGCAGGGTCCTGGGAACCAGCAGGCAGGGTCAAGGGACAGTGCTCCCTGCCAGGGTCCCTGGGCCTGCCTCATTGCTCAGGAAGGACCAGGGAGCACTGGCGCTGAGAGATGAGCACACTGTCCTCGGGGGAGCGTCCCCAGCAGCAAGGGATGCTTCGACTGCTCTCCACTCCACTCCCGGGGTGCCTCCAGCCCACTTCATCCCATTCACTGTAGCGGCTCTCTCCCTGGAGACCCTGGGCAGGGGGTGCCCTGCAGTGGGGTCCCTGGGTTTCAGCACATGCCAAAGCAGGAGCGGGCATGGCACTGAGCGTGTCCTGGCCATGGTGGGTTTGAGCGGTTGGGAAAGTCGTTCCTGGATTGACAGCTTTGAAGGCTGACGCCACAGCAGCAGAACTGTGCTTGAGATACTCATGGGAAATTTGTACTTTTCTCTAGTGTGTGTGTGTGTGTGTGTGTGTGTGTGTGTGTGTCCTGTAAACATCTTTGAGCCAAATCACCATAAAATAAAGTAACAAGGGCACAAAAAGACATCCATTTCCAAAGCCAAGCCCTCTTGGAGCCCTCCTGAAGTTGGGAGTTCTGGTTTGGAAGGTGTAAAAGGTTCGTATGGGAGGAGGACTCCCTTCCCTCTGGCCACTCATACCAACAAATCCCTCCCTCCGCCATCCACCCCAGAGTCACGAAAGTTACATGAGTTAGAAAGTCTGCCCCACTCAGAGAAGCCCAGGAGCTGCAAACCTGTGTGTCCTCCCAGCCCACACCTGTCCCGATCCCTCCCACCCACTGCCCATGGATCACGGCCCACGGAGAAAGACAAACAAGCTCAAGGGTAAAACCAGGCAGGCCACGAGTGCTTTTCCCAGCCTGCACCCTTTGTATTTTTTCTCCCTCCACACGTGCACACGTGGGCACCGCCACCAGACAGCCCGCTTTCCCCCGAAGCATCCGCTTCTTCCAGGTGTTTGGCGCATGGGCACAACTGGACGATTTTGTCATTGCGTTTTGTTAGGTTCAGTCTGTATTGCACTTCATCGTTGAGTTTGTATTGTTTCTTCTCGCTCTTGTTGGAGAATGGTATTGACTGATTGGAAATCACCAAACTGCTCATGGTACCAGGCTCACTCACTCCAGCTCCAATCCTGCGCCCAGGCCCCTCGGGCCCCCATCCTCTGCCTACCCTCTGCTCTGGCCCCTGGGGTGACACCTTACCTCCCCACACCTGCCCCCTAGACCAGCGTCCATCCCACCCTCCCGTCTCGTGCACAGTCACAGCCTCCCTTCCAGGTCTTTCCCCCTCACACTGTCGTGACCCTCATGACGAGCTCTCGGCTGCTGCCCTGGGGGCTCCGCTGTTCATGAGGTCTTAAGTGACTCAAGATGTGCAGGATGGTGTAAGCACAGTGGTGATCGGACAGAGGGCCTGAGGGGTGGTGGCTGGCTCCCCGGGCAGGGCCTTCCTCAGGGGCCGGGGTGCCTGCAGCCTCCTCCTCTGTGGAGGGGGCATTGGCCTGGATGGATGAGGAGGTCCGGGGGTTTGTCCTGCCTCCCGATTTTTGATCCTCCAGGTCTTTTGTCTTATCATAGTTCAGCACTTTCCACTGCTGGTTGACAGCCTGCCACCGTTTAAAGATGCGGTACACGGAGGGTCCCTCGTGGATGATGAGACCTGAGGCATCGGGGAGAAGAGAAGAACAAAAACCAAGTGAGGGAAAGTATATCACAGCCTCCCTTTATTTATAAACAGACATAGATGCTGGGGGAAGCTGGATTCATACGGTTTGATTTGTTCTTTACAAACCTACCTTTCATCTCCGTGCCGCGTGGCTCCATCCCTACATCCCTGGGCTCAGCAAGTCTTTGGTAGGTAGGAGGCGCAGGGTCGCCATACCAGACCCATGAAGTAGCTGAGCACCTACAGCGATGCCTTTACCTACCTCGACTCCACATGCCCACTTCTTCGCTTGACAAACTTTAAATCTCTCATCCACTGAGGTATAATATAAATATCTTTTCCTCCCTCTACCATGTATCCATGGCACCCAGTATTTAGCAGATGTTTAATGAATCATATGCTTTCAAAGGCACCATAAAAGAAACAGCATGGTCGTTCCATACCTGCTGAATGATGTCTGAAATTCTACTGGCTAATTCTTTGCACAGGTAGCTACCAAAATACATATGCCTCTGGGAGAAAGAACTTTGATGCAGTTATATTGGCCAGTGGGAAGGTAAAGTCCAAAACGACCACGTCAGACAATTAGGCAAATAAATATTAATTATGTGCCTACTATGTGCCAAATATCAGGGGTGTTGCAGTGAGCAGGAAATGCAGAGTCCTGTCCTCAGAGAACTTACACTCTAGTGGAGAGACACACAGCAGACACATAAACAAGCCAGTGAGACTATTTTGGGTGCTGAAAATGCCGTCAGGAAGATAAAACAGGGTTCAATAGCCACGAGCTGCAGACATTGAGGGTTCTGTTTCTGCGACAGTGTGGCGGGAAAGGCCTTTCGTGGGAGGGGACGTTTGAGTTGAGACTTAAATGCTGAGAAGGAGGGATCCATGTGAAGCTGTGGAAAGAGAGCATTTTAGTGATAGGATCTGCAGGTGCAAAGGCCAGGCGGTGAGAATGATTGCAACATGTCGGGGAAAAGGTCCATCTGGCCAGGGCGCAGTGAATGAGCAGGGACGTGCAGGGAGATAACGGGCGACAGGAGCCAGTCTGCGGTAGGGCCTTGTAGGCCGTGGCAAGGAATGTATATTTTATCCTGAGCATAATGGGAAGCCATTGAAGGGTTGAATAGAGGTAATCATGTGATCTGGTTTACCCTCCAAACGTTCATTCTGGCTCCAGTGAAACCATAAACTGAAGAGCGACAAGAGCAGAAGCAAAAGACCAAGCAGGAAATGACGTAATGACTCCAGTAGGAAATGCCGGTGGCCTAGACAAAGGTGATAGCAGTGGAGACGGTGAGAAATCACTGGAGTCAGGATGTTTGCTAGAGGTAGAGCTGACACGTTGCTGACAGGTGAGGTGTGAGTCAAGAGAAAAATCTGGGCAACTCAGAAGCTTGGGGCGTCAGCAGTCAGCAGTGGTACCGTGCGCTTTACCGAGATGTGGAAAGCACGACTGTGGGGGGGTGGGCTTGTGCGGTGGTGGCAGCGACTGCATTTTTTTTCCTATTGGGGCTCCAACAAATTACCATGCGTTTAGCGGTTTAAAACAACACAAATGTATTCTCTTATGGTTCTGGAGCTCAGAAGTCTAAAATCAGTCTCACTGGGCTATAGCAAGGGTGTTAGCAGGGCTGATTCCTTCGGGTGGCTTTGGGGGGAGAATCCATTTCCGTGCCTTTTTCAGCTTCTAGAAGTCACCTGCATTCCTTGCCTCTTCTTTATATCGCTCTACCTCTTTTTTCCAATGTCACATCTACTACTTTCTGTCATCAAATTTCCTTCTGCTTCCCTTATTAAAACACTTGTGTTACATTGGGCCCGCCTGAATCTTCCAGGATACTCTCCCCATTTCAAGATTCTTAAATTACTCATATCTGTAAAGTCCCTTTTGCCATGTAAGGTAACATCAACGAGCTCCAGGGATTAGGATCTGGGTGTCCTTAGGGGCCATTCATCAGCCTACCACAGTTGATAGTGATATTTTTATCATGGTAAATTTAAGATGTCTGATAAGAAACTCACTAGAAGGGCCAGATAGGCAGTGGGACATATGAGTCTGAACCTTAGGGAGAGGTCTGGCCTGGAGCTAGAAGTCATCAGTGCTGGGGTAGAATTCAAAGCCTTAGTATTAGCCCAGATCTCCTGGGGAGAGAAGGTAGGCAGATGAGAGAAGGCCAAGGACAGCCTGGGGGCTTCTCGTATAGAGGTTGGGTGGCAATTTGATGGAAGTAGAATCAGCTAAGGAGGCTCTGAAGGAGCAATCAATGGTGTAGAGACAAGACTAGCAAGTGTGGAGACCCAGAAGTCTAGAGAAGGATATCTTTCAGAGAACGTGAATGGATGTTTGCAAGACAGTAGTTATTCCACTGGACTGTAGAAAGAGAACGTGATAACTGTGAAATATTGTTGAGAGGTCAGCTCAAGCGAAATGAGGAGTGACCACTGGCTCGGGAGCACAGGTGGAGGTCGGATGGTAGAAGTGATAGTAGGAAAATCAGGTAGTCTCATCCAAGTGCATCTTTATCTTCCAGGAAGTCAACTGCTGTGGTGGAAGGGACAGGAGGAAGTGTTGACAATTTGTGGTGAAAAGAGAAGGTGGGGAATAAATCTTGGAAAAGAGACAAGACTAGCAAATGTGGAGACCCAGAAGTCTAGAGAAGGATATCTTTCAGAGAAAGAGAACGCGATAACTGTGAAATATTGTTGAGAGGTTAGCTCAAGATAACTGTGAAATATTGTTGAGAGGTTAGCTCAAGCGAAATGAGGAGTGACCATTGGCTCGGGGGCACAGGTGGAGGTCGGATGGTAGAAGCGATAGTGGGAAAATCAGGTAGTCTCATCCAAGTGCATCTTTATCTTCCAGGAAGTCAACTGCTGTGGTGGAAGGGACAGGAGGAAGTGTTGACAATTTGTGGTGAAAAGAGAAGGTGGGGAATAATTATCTTGGAAACTGGGAAAGTGAATTTACAAAGGAGATGTGGTAGAATTGTCTGAGGGTGTTCGGTGTCCATTTGAAATTTGTGACCTTAAACTTGAAGTGAGTCTAGTCATTGCTTCGGTTTTTCTGACCTTCAACTGCTTGCTAGGTGCATCTGTGGAGTGAAGAGTTGGATTTAGTTAGTGTAGACTGTTTCTCCAGGCAGGTAAGACAGGAGAGAGCATGAGAATTATGGATGTTTGCAAGACAGTAGTTATTCCACTGGACCGTGGAATCTAGGCTGGGCAGGAGGGAAGTGATAAGGAATAAGGAATAACAAAAAATGGAAAGTTATAGGATCAATGCCAAGAGGTTTCTATGAAGTTGGAGAATTGCCTTTTCAGCTTAAAGAAGTCACCTGCATTCCTTGCCTTTTCCTTGCAGCCGTCAACAAATCAGTCAACTACAAAGATGGGGGCAATACCCAGAGAATGGGATGTTTAAATCCAGATTTTGGAAGTGCTATGGTTCTTGGCAATGGCAAGGCCGAGGGTGTGACCACTTGAGTGGGGTTGAGGCGGGCTGGAGGAAAGAAACTTTGGAGGAATGAAGAATTGGATGGATTATCAGCATCAGCCACCCTCAGTGCTATCAGACCAACTGCTCCCTTTTTATAACGAATGTATTTTAATACTTCCTCTCTTATCTTGAAATGAAATTCATAAGATAATATAAATCGCTAGGGTTTATTTATTTATTTTTAATGAGTATAATGCCCTAACAAATAAAGAAAAACAAAGGGGAGTCATTTATAAGACAGTGTAAATTTCCGTATAGATTCTTGGACACAACTATATTTAAAAAGAAATTAAAAACCTCATACATTTCCAAATGCCCCCTAGGGGATGGACCACCTCAGCTGAGAACCACGGATCTATAGAGGTGCGTAAGTCAGGAATGGTGGGAGGGAGCGTGTTAGCCAGGTACATCAAGGAACGTTAGTAGGTGGTCAGCAGCCAACAGCATCGAGAAGGGAAAAGAGGTGGGAACATATGATGACATGCACCTCAAAGGGGTGGGAGCTCCTGAAGGATAAAGAAAGAAAGGCAGTTTGGTAGTAATGAGGAGCAAGGACATGGACCCCACCTCCAGGCCCCACAGAATAAGTATATGGAAGAAAAAGCAGCCACCACTGGAGACAGCCATACAAGAAACAATGTCCTTAGGAGACAGATATGTTGCAGTGAAAGGGAGGGGAAAGTAACACTCGGAGGAGTGGATGCCAGTGATGGACCATGAGGTCCAGAGAACACAGTGGAAGGGCTGGGAAGATGGGGCTGGTGAAGGGAAGAGCAAAACAGGAAAGTGGTTGTTTGTATCATTAGCGTGGTCTTGGAGGCTGAGACCTGTGACGGTGAGTGACATGATCGGAGATGAAGCACGATAGGATTTACAGCAACTGTAAATCTAGGGGCTGCTGGTGTGGACTCTGGGGGCAGGAGCTGACTCCCAAGAGCAAACAGCAGTGAGTCACTCCGGCCTCCTCAGTGTCAAGCAAAGAGAGTGGAGGGGAACACCTCAAAGCCTCTCCAACCTCTAACACACTGATTCTAGGAGGCGAGACAGCTACCTGTTGCCATTCTTTCCTCCACTATTCTAACAGCTTCTGAAATTGCACTTTGTGCAACAAGTCTTCAAAGGTTCATCGAAGGAGAGACAGTAGTTTCTTAATCTGCCGGATATGTACCCCTTGAGGATCTGATGAAAACTAAGAACTATCTCCCTGGGAAAAGACCAGACAAACAAATGGTCCTTATAATTTTAAGGAGTTTATGTCTTCTGCAAACAACCTGTGGACCCCTTGATCTGGCCTGCCTGATTCTGGACAAGTAGACTTCCTCTTTGCCCTCTCTCTCACTCCTTCCCAATGTGCCAACTCCTATCACTTTTTTCATCCTTTTGAATACGTGCCTACGCACCGTGGCACTGCAGCATTCATTTATTCCATAAGCCTTGTTTGAACACTGCTATACTCTGTCCTCTAAATCATAAGCCTCTAGAGGACAGGTAT